ATTCTTTGACCTTGAGAACAGAAACGAATATAGAAAAACAAAAGAACGAACAATTTCCAATCATGGAGAAGAACGAAGAAACACACATATATAGAAAGAGAACGAGAAAACAAACGAAGATATATTCTTTTTTTTTTAGCAACAAATACTTACAGTTAGGAAGAAAAATGTACTGAAAGAGAAAAGGAAAAATTGTTGTCTCATTCTATTTGAATTTATTCATCATTTTCCGTTCTTTATTTACAATCGTGATTAGTGTGTAGTACACATTCGAAATCAATTTTACAATCGACATAGTTACTTGTTGTATCTTGATCTGATGCATTACCCAAATATTGATAATCCATCAAATTTGGCCAAGTTACCTCCTCGTGGTGGTAGTGATCGATCACAATCAAAAATTAGAATATCGAGATCATCCACATCAAACCGATCGTTACATCGTACTTTATCAAATGAATCTGTATCTTCATCGATTACTCGTCGTTCAAAACATCGATCTTCTTCCGGTAAGCAAAATATGCGTCAGAATTCTTTTTGTCTTTGAAATAGTTTATAATTGTCTACATAAAACCTATACTTCAGTAGATTATTTACGGGTAACGGTTGGAAAAAACTTAAAACGCATTCTGCATAGATGACGATTTTAGTAAGAACTGGAAGAAAAATAAACCAGAATTTTTATTTCAAACTTTCGAATTTCTACAAATAGAAAAAGGTGTATTCCTTGATAATGAATTTTTATCGCAATGAAAAAAAGAGGATTTATCGATCTCTTGTTTTTTTCTTAAATTATTCGTCTGAGAGCTAATTAAAACTTTCCAGTAGGTCGCATATTCTCATTGGTAGTTACTTATCAATCATATTTTAACTGAATGAACCTGTAAAAATTTTTTGGGGGATACCTGCATTTCAATATCTGTTAAGTTACGAAACAAGTACTTTAGTTAAGCATTATGTGTTATAAATTAGTTAATAATTTCCCTTTGTCTTATTACTCTATCTTTTTAGGACGGAGTCATAATCGAAGAAAAGTCGTAGCTGATTCAAATATTCATTCTATCAATGTTTTATCATCGTCTAACAAATCCGAGAACAATGTTCAAGGTATTCAAAACTTGGATCAAAATGATGAAATGATAACAATAGAATCTGGTACTGATGTTCTCGATCGTGATTATTATCAAAATCTAAATTCTACAACTGATTCTGTTCAGTCAATTCAACCATTTGAAGTTGATAAAGTACTTCCACCGAAAATTACAACAACTTTTTCAGGGAAAAAAAAGGCAGAGGACGTTTTGAAATTCTTCGAGATGCAATCTTATGGAACGTACAAATGTTTATTATGTGTAGATGAACAGAAGGTAAATCTTTAGTCTTTGTCTAAAGCTAGTCTTGATTTAAAGAATCCTTATGTGTTTATAAATTATTTATAGTCGTATGAGAATCGTTTTTTATAAATAAAAATGTTAAAAATCTTGAAATGACAAATAAAAATTAGAATATTGTAATGATTTTAAAAACTGTTAATGTTCTCATTATTGTTTTAATTAAAGTTGAATAAAACTTTTATATATATCAAAAATTGACAGTCTTCTGTTGATTTAAATTAGATAATACGACAGTACAATCGAGGTACAGCAAACTTAAGATCGCATCTTCTTGTTCATGGTATGAACGATTATGCATTCAAATCACAAGAAAATCAACGAAATTCAGAAAAAAATGTAACTTCTGTTGTTCCATTAGGTCTGCAAAGAAAACATGAAATCGATGAAGCTCTATTACAATGTATTATTGGAGCTGGTTTACCTTATAATATGTTTAATCATAAAGCTGTTATTCAATTTCTTAATGTTCTAGAACCGAGATATACACCACCTGATAGACGTACTCTATCATCTCGTATTATCAGTGAATATAATGAATATATTAATGATCTTAAAAATATTCTGCCTCATGTTGGACCATTAGCATTTGCAAGTGACATTTGGAAAGATATTTCACGTCATCATATGATCTCTCTATCTGTTCATACATTTACATTTGATTTCGAATATATCTCGTTACCGATATCATTTCATATTTTTCACGAACGGAAATTATCAGTTAATATACGAGGATATTTTGAACATGAACGTGATCGATTTAACTTAAATACGAGAATTTTAGCAGGAATAACGACTGATAACGGTCCTAACATAAAGTCGGCTGCATCTTATAATATATTTGGCCCTCGCTTTGCGTGTTTGGCTCACTGCTTAAATTTAACGGTGCATCATGCCTTATGTTTATGGGCAAAACCAGATCCTAAGAAGTAAGTTATAATTTTCTCTCAAAAGGAAACAATAGCCCCCGAGAAATTGTAACTGAATGCTAGCTCAAAATATACAATCTATTATTACTTTCGTTTCTCACAGACTAGAAAATAGCCTTAATAAACTAGGAACTCGTCATAAGATTCACAAAAGCTCAGTTAAAAAGATATGTATTGGTAACAATCATGTTATTAATATTGTTAAATTTACATAGATATCCATTTGATTCAACTCATCATGAAATAACTGATTCTTTAATTGATGACGAAGATGATGAATTGACATCTGATCTTCCAGAAAATCTTTCATCAATTTCATTGGGTGGTGAAGATAGTGTAGCTGATGATAATCAAAATCTTACACATCTCAATCACACTTCATCATATTCTGATAATCTTTCATCTTCATTATTTGTTCAGGCGAAAGACTATTTAGATATTGAACCATCGGAGGATAATAGTCAAATAGTAAATCCTCGAAATAATGAAGAAATATATAAATTTCTTCTTCGTGTGTATGCTCTTCTTAGTAAGGTACGTATTTTTATATCAATGGCTCGTGAAGTTGATGCTCTTCAACGTCATATTCATAACAAACTTGGTGATAATAAAGGTGGATTTATTCTCGATGTTAAGGTAAGACACAGTTTTCACTTCAGTTTAAATGCTATTCATGAAGCCGTTCGTCTCTATTTCGTATCACATGTATATTTTAACATATGAAAGCTACGATTGTGTAAGTATTGTGTAGAAAAACTGGCTAGAAATCCTCTGCTCTTTCATTAAGAATAATATTCGAAGAGAAAAAGTTTGCTATTTAAGGTGCTGACGAATGAAAATTTAAGGAAAGAATTTATACTACTATTAATTTTTCGTGATTGAACACAA